CACCTGTGTCATATTCTATTAGCGTCAAGTCACCATTTCCACCCACACTTAAAAGGAAGAAATTCTACAAGACTGGGACTTTTTGGGTAGTCATTTTAGGGTGTGTTGGCTACAAGAAGTAAGAAACTCAAGGCAGTGATTATATTGTGCAGACTTGACTGAGAAGAAAAACACATAGGCCTGTAATTATGGGAAATACAGGATCAAGACAGAGCTTGGAATATATATGTATGTATTTGTTTTTCTTTTGCTGCTTAACAAACCATGCCAATATTTAGTGTTTTAAAACACAATCTTTTATTTAGCTCAAAAATCTGCTGGTCAATAATTTGAGCTGTTTTCAGCTATGTGGTTCTGCAGATATGGGCTAGATTCAATTAATCTTTGCTGTGACCTACCTATGTCTGTGATTGGCTGTTGGGTTAGCTGGTGGCTGGTTAGCTGTCTGGTGGCTGGGTAGTTGTCTGCTGAGATGTGGTCTTATATCTTCCAGTAAACTAGGCGGAGCTCATTCATATTATGGCAGTGTTCTGCACGCAACAAGCCAGTAAACCTCAAAGCACAAGTGTTTTTCAAGACACTGCTTCTTGTATTGCATTTGATGATGATGTATGGGCCAAAACAAGTTATTTGGCTACCTAGATTAAAGGGTGGAATAAATGACTTTCTGAAAGAATGGAAAAGAATAGAGAATTGTGACGACTTTCACTATTCAACACAATGATATTTATTATTATGTTTTTAAAAGAGTGAATTTCTGTTTTATATCTATGTTAGGATCAGGGAACTGGGAAAAAAATAAAAAGGGTAAATACATAGGATATGGGGAATAACCGACGAAATGACATTTCTAAGAGAGCAGAAGCTGCTGTGATTCAGAGTACACAGGAGAATTCACCTTTAAAAAAGTGAAAGGTTTTAAAATTCACCTTCCTTAGAAAGAGGGAAAGGGAATAAAGGCGATTCTACCAAAATTCATTTTCCTGGTAATCTTGATTTTCCTTGGAATTAAGAAACCTAGGCCATCTGTTGAACATAATGGGAGAAATAGCAGGTTTAGGGTTTGCGGCGAACACGAAGGTTTTGGAAAAGCTGTTCATCAGAACAGTAGAGGAAGCCAAGGTCAACATGATAACAAAAAAAGAAAACACAAATCAACCAACCAAAAGAGGGAGAAGTGCAGGACCCAGCTGAGACTATAGACGTTGAACTTGTGCTTTCACCAATCCCCAGTAACTCACCCAACCAGTATGTGAATTGAGAAAGCCTCCCCTTCCATAGGTTAATTCAGTGCAGGGGAATTCAGTCCCACTCGGCTGTTGCCCTTGTGTAGGATGCAGTTTGAAAAACAGGTGCAGTGGTCCTGCCAATTAACAAGTGGTATCAATTTTTTCTTAGAGCAACTTTAAGTAGACGAGATCTAGAAACATAATGACAATTGCTGGAATTGCTTTAAGAATGAAGGTTTGCCAAATTGATTGGCAAGAGAACATTGGTAAGAAACCTCAATAGCTAGAATGTTGACAATGCTGGCAAGAAGGTTGAGATTTAACAAAGTATTACTGAAACTTAAAAAATAGAGGATGAGGCGTATGAGACTGGATAGCAAGAGAGGGGCTTTGTCATGAAGAAAAGAGCTTTAGTTAGTGGTAGACACAAAGAAGACACTGATGAGATCTTAAGCATAGGTGATCAGATTTTAAAAGTTCAATCTGGTGGTAGGTTAAATGGGGTGCAAGTAGAAGTAAGAACACCAGAAAAGGTTATTTAATCTTTTAAAGATTAGGTTTCTGCCTCGTCTCGCTGTACAAATTCAGGAGGGAGAGCACAACTATATGCAATCCACATCTGGTGCTCTCAGAATCTCGGGAACTATTCAAGATACTAGGTATCAGATCAGTCATTTTAGTTTTCATTCAAATGCTTTCAGATCTCATAGAAATATCAGGGAAAACTGAATATATATACAGGAGGAGTTCATTTTAGATTTACTAAAAATACAAGACAGTTCTACAATAGAAATTTGTTGTTAAAATAACTGATGGTCTCTATCATATAAGATCTGAGGGTGAATTTATGATTAGGATCATCTACCTAATGATAGGAGCACATTGCATCTTTTGTTACTGAGATTATTGTGAATGTTTTCCAGAGTTCTGGATAGTCTTTCTAGGAGAAGAGAGTTTTGAAAATGACTTTAGAGAGTTTTGAAAATGGCAAGGAGGTTTCCAGCATAGTTCTGGGGACTGGAAAAACGGTCATTGGTAGCTCTAGAGTGATGTTTGAAGCAAAGGAATCAATACAGATGAGGTAAGAAATAAATGGTAAAAGAAGACCTAGAAAAGCCTTGAAGGAGAAGCAATTAAAGCATCAGTAGCAAACCTTGAGAACAACATAGGGGGTTATGAATGGGAGAGGAAGAAGACATGGAAATAATTTGTGTTAAATAGATGCCAATAGAGAAGTTTGGCATCACTAATAAGGGATTTATAGGCAGGGGTAAAATGAGGGACCGATTCTGAGCTACTGACTGAGAATTTGACAGGTGCCCATTTTTTCTTTCTGCATACATATTTTCCTGCCTTTACTTTCTCTTTTTAAAAACGTATTAATTAGAGAAACTTAGGAAAATCAGTCTTTTTATTTAAAAAAAAATCCTTCACCCCTGGAAATTTTATTAAAATATGGTGTCACATTTTTATATTAGTACAAATTAGGATAACATCATGGTATTTTTGCAAGTTAAAAATGAGTATGTTGCATATTCTTATCAATATATTAAACAAGAAAAGATAAGAATTATATGCACATTAATATAAACATGGTAAACATCTTTAGACTTCGCAAAGCCTTTCTGTTAGAAGTTCCTCAATAATCAATGTTTTAAATATATTAAAACATATAATAAAATTCTGAGGTATTTATATTAGGTAAAATATTATTGTAGTAGAATGTTTGGTCATTAGAAATCATCATTTTGAGGAAGTTGGAGAGGTTAATCTTTTCCTCTGAATGAGACCCTAACAATTACAATTAACAATTATGGTCTTAACATAGTGATAATTTGGTGAATATTCAGGGTAAATAATTGAGTTTGTCATATACACTAAAGTTATTTGGAAACAACAGAACTGAAAAGGTAAGATTTTTGTGATTGCTGTTATTAATTTACAGAATTATTTACCAAACAGCTATTCTAGGCTTAGTACAACACGCAAAGACACACTACACAGCCTAGAAATGTTTCTATGTTCTTTTAATTAGGAGAGATCAATCATAGGAAACACTTAGAGAAGACTTTTCATTTGTGGTTAAAAAAAAAAATCCCTAAATGTATTATTTACCCTAACAATCTCTTAATTACATATTTAGCTACAAATGATTGCATAACTCCAAATAAGACATGGTCATTCTTGTAGTGACAGAAACATTCAGCTGCCCAGCTAGGAGTGTTTGGATTTAAATATATCTCTAACCACATGGATCAGTTACATAAACATTGGCTAAGCAGACTTGTTTCTAAGTAACACTTACATGAGTGAATTGCTAAGCTTTCTTCCTTTATTTGATTGAATTCTGCTTGACTTTCAATTACTTCTGATTTTCCCATATTCTGGGTTATGCCAATATATTTAGGCATTATTTATGTAGCAAGAATTCGTCTGTGTTGCAAAGATACATATATATTTACATATAAAAGACAGGAACATTTTGGGTATGTTTACTTAGAAACTTAAAAGTTTGGGATGAGTTGTTTGAATTTGCCAGTTTTAAATATTTCTAGAGATTAAAACTATATGGTATGAAAGCCTCTGTTAGGTCTGATGGAAACCTTACAGTGTTATAAGCAAAATCAAGAAATATCTTTTACTTTATTTATAAAGATTTTGCCAAGTTTGACTGTTATGTTTATATATATTTTCCTGCTATGTGCTTAATGCAATATCTATATGTAAGTCTTAATATTTATTGATATTTTGAATGACTGATGTTCTCTAAATTCTTTATTATACATGCATGTTTATTAATTCTTTTATTTATTGTCATAAATCAATGACTTTGAAGGGAAACCTCTGTTTAAAAGGTATTCAAATTATTTATAACTTCAGTACTTAAAGTACTAGATGATTTTTAAAATGGCACAAGACTACATACATCCAGTTGTTTCACAGGCTCTCACTGGCTTCTCTTGCAAAATGATGAATTGTTCTTTATTTCCTTTTTATTTGGATTGGTGGGTTTTCTTGTTTCAGGTGGATTGTATTTGTAAAGTATTCTGGCTTCTTTTGGTATAAAAGAGAGCCTATTTCTTCCAGCATAACCCAAATAATTTGTTAAATGTTCATTATATGTTCATGTTAAATGTTTATTCTGGCAAATAGGAAAATTAAGCTAAAACTTCCCGTCTAATTTGGACTTTGCTTTCACTCTCTCAGTTTATCATTCTGTGTTGATATTGGGTGTTTCAGCTTTTGAATTCTGGGTACTTTTCCAAGTTCACAGCATTGTAGGAATTAAATAGTAGAAACTCTTAGAATTTTAAACACTTGAAGTGTGTTAAGAATTTTTTTAAGTCTTGTAGTCATTATTATAATATTATGGTTTATATTCTTACAATGGAAGAAAATGATTTTCCAAAGTGAAATTTGCAATTTATACTGATGGTGATTTACATCTTTCCAAATCACACAATTCCAAATTAAGATAAATATTTTAGATGCTGTCAATGAATTATCTTCCAACTATGCAGTATGATTTTATATTGATTTCATTCTGTGGAATAAATGAGGTATAGGATGTAATACTTCACAGCTTATTTGTATCTTATTTCAAATTCAAAGCAAGGCCTCATTAGCAAAACGAATTTCCTTCATTTTTATGGAGGTTTAAGATGTGTTCTTTTGTGTAAGTTGTTTGCATAATCGCGCAAGTGACAAGAATATTTTAATCGTTTCACAAATAATGTCCTATTTCAATCTGTCTATTTCTCTTTCCTCTAGTTAACTTCTTCTCCCACTACCTCTGAGCAGCTTGCCTGTAAACCACCTGCTTTCTCCTTTGTTTCTCCAACTAATCCGAACACACCACCCGACCCAGTTAACCTCGAGGGAGCCTCTGTCCTAGAGGAGTTCCACACTAGGAGGCTGGATGTCGGTGGGGCCTTGGTGGAAGAATCATCTACGTATTTTCAAACTACCGCTCACTCTTCACCCTTTTCTGCATCGAAGGGCACCTCCTCGACGTTACTGTTTCCCCATTCCACTCAACTATCAGGTTCTAACTTACCCAGTTCAACTGCAGCAGATCCAAAGCCTGGACTGACCTCTGAAGTTCTGAAGAAGACATCTGTCACCTCACATGCCCTTAGTAGTGGAGAAAGTCCGAGAACCTCTTCTCTTCCACCGTCCTCCAGTGCTTCTCTGAAGTCGAGTTCAGCCTCCTACATACCAGTCCGCATTGTCACGCATTCACTCTCTCCGAGCCCCAAACCATTTACCTCCTCTTTCCACGGCTCTTCTTCTACCATCTGCAGCCAAATGTCATCTAGTGGAAATCTTTCAAAGTCAGGGGTAAAATCCCCGGTGCCCTCCCGGCTTGCCCTTCTCACTGCCATTCTCAGGTCAAACCCTTCCCACCAAAGACCCTTTTCCCCTGCATCCTGTCCCACCTTCTCTCTCAACTCCCCGGCCTCTTCCACGCTCACACTTGATCAAAAACCAAAGCAGACCCCACTGACGCCTAAAAAATCTCTCTCAAGTTGTTCCCTGAGAGCTGGGTCTCCAGATCAAGGGGAGCGCCAGGTTTCTGAGTTGACCCAGCAATCTTTTCGCCTGCCTGTTTTCACCCAGTCTACTCCCCTTTCGCAGGCGCCCTCCCTCTCTCCTACAAAACAGGCTAGTAGCAGCCTTGCTTCCCTGAATGTAGAGACAACACCATCACCCACTTTGAAGAGCAATACAATGCTCTCCCTGCTACAAACCAGTACATCCAGTTCTGTGGGTCTTCCTCCAGTTCCTCCAAGCTCTTCTCCTCTTTCCTCTTTAAAGAGTAAACAGGATGGTGACCTCAGAGGTCCAGAAAGCCCCAGAAACATTCATACATACCCTTCTACATTAGCCTCCTCTGCATTATCTTCTCTGTCCCCTCCTATTAATCAAAGAGCTACATTGTTTTCTTCAGAGAAGTGTTTCCATCCTTCCCCAGCTCTTTCAAGCCTGATAAACAGATCTAAAAGAGCATCATCCCAACTATCTGACCAGGAGCCGAATCCCTCAGCTCTTCCTTCAGTCCCTATCTCCAATGCTAGCTCTGCCTCTCTTCCCAACCTGAGGTCCTCCTCTCTCCCTCGTGCCAGTCTGCCCACCCACATGCCCCACCTCAGTCCGTCAGCACTGTACCCACATTGCGGCAGTGGTACCCTGCCTTCAAGACTTCGGAAATCTGAAAGCACCACCCTCAACCACAGGTCACCTGTTTCAGCCCTGTCACTTCCCCTATCTCTAACAAGAACTGAGGAGCTGATTTCACCTTGTGCATTGTCCATGTCAACAGGCCCAGAAAATAAGAAACCCAAGGTATTTTTTGCATGTTGCATGATGCATGTTTATTTTGAAACAGGGAAGAATCTTTATTTTTCTCCAAGGCAGAAATCAATAGTTATAGTGTTCATTCTGTGACTATAAGGAGGAAGAAAAAGTACAAGAGGGCTCCAGGACTTGGCATATTTGAATGTGTAAATGAATTATAATGCATATAGAATTATGTGTTTCAGTCACATCTTTGGATTTTGTAAATCCTCTTCCTCTTCCTAATTTCTTATATCTATGACTCCAAGGGTATTATTTTCCCCCCGGTGTAATATGAGTTACACCATTGGTCGTAATGACAGAATTAAAAACAAGTAGTTGAGATTTGGGACTATGATATATTTCTGACTGTTTATTAACAGGGACCCTAGCATCCATCCAAATATCCTGTACTGATGGAATAGTAGACAGGATTAATATAAAATGGAATCTTATTTTAGATCTAGGCCTATGATATAGCCAAGCCCATTCTCCTGGCAGAAGGCAACTCTACGCTAAGGCATGCTGGCTTCTCAGCTATTCTCAAGTAATTCAGATTGTGGATCACCCACACTCAGAATTTGATAGGTGTTATATCAATAAAAGGAAACAATTAAAGTGCCTGCATAAGAAGACATGGTGATTTTCAGCTCAGTACATTGAAATACTGTAGTTTTAGAGCTTTGAAATATCATGGAGAGTATGTTTCACTATCACTTTTCAGATGAATGTCACGTTGAAGGGATAAAGTGATCTTCATTGTCTTGTAAATGATGTTACAATGCAATTCAAGTCAAAGCATGCATCAAATACCTGTTATATGTGTACCACTACTATGCTAGCTTTCTTTGGAGAGTACGTGGTTTCTTTTAAAGAGAAGTAAGAGATAATTTTTTTTTGCCTTAGAACAATTCAATTTTAATCAGTGGAAAAAAATACACAATTTGGAGAAGCTATATACAGTTATTAAATCTACAATACAGCTAGAAAACCAATATAAGGCAAAATTAACTGTGTAAGTCAGATTATAAATAATCAACTGAGTTCAATATAGCAGGAATACTGTGATGGAACATGGTTACTGAGAGAAGCTATCAAAAACGTGAGGCCTGTGGGAAATGTTTAGGATTTAACCTAATGAAGAGGAAAGGAGTTGGCATTTCAGAAATAAAAAACAACCTGACCAAATATACAGAAGATAATCCTAGAAGGCTGTGGAGACTTAAGACAATTGGCCTTATAATCTAATAGTAATAATAACAATATCAAGTGCTTTTTGTGAGTCAGGAACTATGCTAGTATACAAAATAGTTGAAAAATTAATTAATGGATTACATCAGTTAAATTTTACAATCATATGGAGTTGGCAATACTATTTTCCCTATTTTGTACACCAGGAGACTGAAGTTCAGTGAATAACTTGTCTGGGTCATGGGTCTGGTACAGGGCTGGCATTTATATAATATTAAGTCTGCTGATTCTTGAAGCCATATTCTTTATTACTATGATTTATTGCTACAAAGAAATAACTCATGTTAGCAATTTAGCCTGACTTTATAATTCTCATGAAGAAAATCATTATTAAGGAATAATGACCAGAATTCACAATTTATATAATTTTGGGATTATTTTAAAAATGTATTGGAGATTAAATCATTGTATTTTAAACATTGAAAGCAAATGAGATGGATGAAATTTAGCTTTTCATGATTCTCAATTGAAAATCCTACTTATTTGAGGTAAATTGACCTGTTTGTTATATTTTATATACATATATGTGATTATAAAATTCATCTGTAGAGTATTTAAAACAAACTGACATTCTGTTACTGTTTCCTGAGTGTATTAACTAATATTTTTTAAATCATGCTGCTATATACTTACTCTTTTTTTGTGTGTGAAAGATAGTTTTACTCTAGAAGCTGTTTCAAAGTGTTTCTATGTGTGTTTCACTGCACTTTTTGTTTTCTCCTGTTTTGAATATAGTCAGACAGTTGGAAGATGGTGAGCCCCCAAAGGGCTTTTGATACATTAAAGGCCTATTTATTGAAGACCTATTATTTTCTGGCTTTCTTCCTGCACCCAACATTGAAAAATTTTCAGCATTTGCTCTTTTCTTTTAAAAGAATTTCCAAGTAAAAAAACTCAAAGAAATGCAAGGTAAATTTGATGAAAAGGAAAATAAGAAGAATGATTATAATTTTACTACCAGTAAAAATATCAATTGATTTCTTTGAACAGAAAAGAAAAGCTTCTTATGGGTAAAATTTATAATAACTTCTTCAAAAATAGACTAGCATGGACTCTATGAGACCATGCTATTCTTTTTCATGCTTATTTTCTCTTTGCATCTTGCTGTATTATCTCTTTAGGTAAAAGTCAAGTTAGCCCACTTTTTTTTTAAATTACAAACAATTATTTTCAGAAATTGTAATGAGTATAAAAGATTTATTAAAATTGGTGTGGAATAGGTAAATCTTATCCTGATCTCTTTTGATGTTTGACTAATGTTTCAATTGGTAACATTATTTTATAGACTGATAGGAAGAAATAGACAAAAGCTGTGTGATATTGAAGAATTTATGATGTGCTTTCATGGGTTGTTTCTTGTCTTTTTCCTTCTAGTGTGGTACTAAGCTGAGCACAGGGCTCTTTTTGAAATCAAAGAGCTTTAGATTTAGGTCAGCTTTACTCACTCCCAGATTCTGAAATAATAGGGGTCCTATGATACAGATGGCCATCTAATTAAAACATGAATTCTTGAAGGATATTAGTTTAAAGTCTGAGCCCTACTGTCCTTTGATGTTAAAATGAAATGGATTAACCATAGTATGCTGAGCTAAATTCAGATGTAAAGTGTGTTTGATGTTTCTTTTTCATAGATAAAATTTTAAGGTTCTGAATGTACTTGCATTTGTATGATATAATTACTATGATATGTTATAAAATACTATTTCACATTATAATCATGGCCTTAGACAGGATGGGTGTTTGAATGCTGCTCAGCCTGTTTTTTTTTTTTTTTTTAAAGGCAAGGTCCCATTGTGTCACCCAAGCTGCAGTGCAGTGGTGCAGTCTTGGCTCACTGCAACCTCTGCCTCCTGGGTTCAAATGATTCTCCTCCCTCAGCCTCCCAAGTAGCTGGGATTATAGGTGTGTGCCACCATGCCTGGCTAATTTTTATATTTTTAGTAGAGACAGGGTTTCACCATGTTGGCCAGACTGGTTTTGAACTTCTGACCACAAGTAATCGCCTGCCTTGGCATCTTAAAGTGCTGGGATTACAGGCGTGAGCCACCATGCCCAGCCTACTTTTTGATCAACATCTATATTGTCTGAGCCTTTTTTTTCCCTTGAAAAAGACTGGATATTATAAAATTCACCCATGGAGTTGTGTCTGGGTCCCCAATCTGTTTTGCCTTCATTTATAAAAGAATTTAAATTTTTATCCTAGTGAGTTATCACGGGGTTCCATATGGAAATTGGGATGAACATTACATCAAAGCCTCATATCGTCTGCTACTTACTGAAGATAGTCTGAAGATTAGTCTGAATTATAGAGTCTCTGTTGATGGGCCTGCCCTGGGCTTAAAGCTGTTTGGACACATAGCTTGTTTAGGGAACAGGTTGAGAGCTATTTGATATTTCATAAAAGTTTATAGATGGTTTTTTATTCATGGAAGTCTCCTTCCTTTAAGGCACAAAAACCTTCCCAAATACATCACTCTGAAAACTTAGGGGCAGCAGTCTGTATGTGACTTTCTCCACTTCTGCAGAACCACATGCAATTTGCAAAATGAACAATATGGAATGTGTCTGCATGAGCTAAAATAGTTAATCTGGGTTCAAAGAAGTTCCTTTGATAAATATGTATTGAGTACCTGATAGGTGTGCTTTTCAAAGCTGTGAGGATATTGCAATGAATCAAATATGCAATGATGCTTGTTTAAAGACAGTTCATATTCTTTGGTGGAAGAGAAACAATCAACAATAGCCCCTTCAAATAAGTAAATTATCTTGTGTGTTAGAAGGTTGTATATGTCATGGAGAACAGCAAAGCCCTGATTCTCAAGGGAAATAGAGAAGGGATGGTGTCACAAGTTATGCTGGGTTATTGGGATAGGTGATACTCCTTTAGAGAGTATAGTGAGGAAAATACTCTGAGATCACAGAGTGCTTGATAGGTACAAAGAATATATTCTCAGCTAGTGGTGAGGAACAGGATGTTGAGGTTGTCAGAGGGAGATGTAACTGGGAGCCGGATCCTGTAGGAGGGTCTTGTGGGCCACTCTTTAATCTTTGATTTTTACTTTAAGTAAGACAGTAAGTCTTTGGAGAGTTTCAAACTGATAAGTGACACAGTTTTAACTATCTGACTGCTAGATAAGAATAGACCATGAGGGGGTGAAAGTTTAAGTTTAAGCTGGGAGAACTTAGAAGCCTATTGCTACAATCTAGGTGAGTGACGTTGGTGACTATGGTCAAGTTATAGCAATGAAGGTGAAGATAAGATTTCCATTATGTTTTGTAGGAAGAATAACAAACATTCACCAAACATCAGAGCTATTATGTGAAATGGGGAAAAAAAAAACAGCTGAAACTAGCCTTATGTGCCTTCTTAATTTTGTTTTTTTTTCTTTTTATCTCACTGTCATTGACTCTACTCCCTTCACAAAGTTGTTGGGAATCCTCGAGTTTCCAGGATTCTTTCTTCTTTGCTGTCGGTCACTTCGACCTCTATGCTAACCAGTTCTGTGTGCCACTCCCTGAGCTTCTCTCCAGCTAGCCTCTCCGAATTGATCCTAGAAATGGTACACACTCAGGTGTCAATGATGGACGAAAGCTGCTCTTCCCCTCCAGCCCCGTACTCCCTGGGGAGATTTGTATTTTGAGGGGAGTGCGCAATGTAACTCAAACAACAGAATTGTCAAAGTTAAAAACAGGGATCAAGATAATGCAGCGGATGTTTTAGGTTCACATCATGAAGAAAGAGGACTTCAAAAATATGT